TGAGTTTAAGCTACTGGGTCCAGCACTCAAACCGCAGTTGACTACATGGAAGTCCAGCGACATAGCCATTATGCTAACTGCTGGTTCCAGCATTAATGATTTTAAAATGAATGATCAAGTGACATGTAATGTATTCACAATGTTCTGCAACCATTACTTCTATCTAGTTTTCAAAGAATTTTCATTTCTGCAAAAAGAAACCCTGTATCCATTAAGCAATCACTCCTCAATCTCCTCTCCAGCTCTTGAGAACCACTCACTTGTTTTTCTGCCGCTATGGATTTGCATGTTATAGAAGTTTCATATAAATGGAATCAGTCAAAATTTGATCTTTTGTACAAGAAGCCTGGGTTTTATTTCACTTCTCCCTAAATCTAGTCTACTCTGTTGTGCTTTCCTGCTTTACATTATAGTTGCCCACTATAATTTGATGAATGAATGAATGAGTGCATATCAAGGGAACACTAATGAGACTACTAATTTTCTGCTTAACCTAGTTATTTATGCTTTTATTCATTCTCATAAGAGATCCTTTTGCAGCTTTTACCAAGTGTAAGTTGGAGAAACTGAAGGTTAGTGGTAGCTGGACAGAATGGAAGGCAATGAGCCACCACAGGTTTGCCATTAGCTCTTTGGGATCCATGTTATTTCAAGTTGGCATCTACAACTGACTTAGTCATTATCACATTTTTAGGATAAATGCAGGGGGCAGGGGAACTGGAATGAAGCTGGCCTGCTACACTGTATGTGAATGGATTGCTATCTATTTGGCTGCTAGGACTAGAGTGGGATCTTGGAGGGGAAATGAACTCAGTTCTCCCCCCAGTAACTGACTTTCTCCAATATGTGAACTATTGCTTGGACAGGAACTGGTTTTAGGGGGTCAACATCTAGGGGCTGCCAGGAAAATGTACGCAGTTGCTTCTTTGCTTAAAGGTAGATTTATTGTTAAGAGTGTCAATTTGTTTTGGAACTTACAATGTGGGAAGTGACTTTTGACACTGCTGGAAAACAGTCAAGCATTTAACATTTAATCTAGAATGACTGAATTGTCTGGTTGTAACTATGAAAAGTCGACATAGGTAATTCTTACTTTTTCACATATCCGTAGAAATACATATTCATTTTATATTCTTATCTACAGGGTGTTTCAAATTTTCTTAGTTATGTCTCCATTTTTATTGGAAATTAAATTATATTGTTAAATGATATGACATTAGAAAAATTAACACATTAAACTCCTAGATCATGTGTTCTTTGGGGAATCATTTAAATTCTGGCAATTCTCAATTTATTTTATAATACTAAGAAGGCAGAATCCATTTTTATTTATATTTATTTCTGGGAAAAAAAGAAAATGAAAACTGAGCCATAATTTTAAATGATTTTCTACTGTTTGTGCATGGATTTGGCAAAAGGGACAATTACCATCGTTTCAGGTATGGTTAGTTTTTACGCCTATCTGTACCTCTGTATTTATAGGGAAGGGGAAGATTTATCTCTTATTTTAATTCAGTCTTTCATTTTGACATAGTTGTAAATCAATATGTAACTATAAGAAATAATACAGAGAATATCATTATGCTCATCATACACATTCTTCTGATGTCTTGCAAAAGTATGATACATCTTTCAAAGCTATGGTACAGTATCTTGCAAAACTATAATACAATCTCACAAGTAGGGTGCTGACATTGATTTAGTTCAAGTTTGTGTGATATTATCATTACCTTAGTTTATTATATATATTTAAGGCACACAACATGATGTTTTGATATACATATGCAGAGTGAAATGACTAGTTAAGAAAATTAATATATCTGTGTCATCACATAATTACTGATTTTTTTAAATGAGAGCACCTGAACGCTGCTCATTTGTCATATTTCTAGTATACAATATGGTATTACTAACACCATCATTTCTACGTTAACTATCTAGACTTATTCATTCTATATAACTGGCTTTGTATCTTTTGACATTCCATTTATCCCACCTCCCACCCCTGATAACCACAATTATATTCTCTCTTCTATCAATTTTAAAAATTGGAATCCACATTATACTTGTTTTGCTGGCAAAATTGAGGCAACTGGAAATATTTGTTTTTCTCAATTTCTGTATTATTAATTGGTTCTTAAAATAGAAGGGTAGCTCATTTATTATGCTTATGTGTAGAACCTATGCTTTGAGTCTATGTGTGGCACTTATTTCAGGAACATGAATTTTCAAGGAGATGGACCACGCTGAGCTTACCCATCAGTATTGATTTTCTGTTGTGGACTGCACTTACCACTAAATCAGCAAACAACAAAAATAATCTGAGGGTTTCAAAAGTGGCAAGTTGTATTTGCTGTCGTGGTTGACACTCAGAAAAAGAATCTGTTAGAGATCATTTATCATGTACAGTTGTCCATTGAGACTGTAAAAATAGATCCAAAGGTCCTAGTATGATATATGAATTAAATAATAGCAAGGGAAAATGTAGACTCAAGCTCCTCACTAGAGTCAATCAAAACGTTTTGGTTGAAAATTTTCTTGATATACCAAATGTCATGTGTATCTTTCATTCAACAAATTCACTAGTTATTTCTAATTGATTAAAGGCACAATACCTTAATTAGTAAGGAGAACAACTGAAAATTTGTGTTGGCTTCTTGGAATATGATGTAAATAAAATGAAATAGTCATATAGAGTTAAAACAGCTTTCGGTAAACTTAAGGCTAATACTTGTTTTTTCTTTTAAATATAGAGTGTTTCATGAATTTGTGTGTCATCCTTGTGCAGCGGCCATGCTACTCTCTGTATTGTTCTAATTTTAGTAGATGTGCTGCTGAAGCGAGCACAAGGCTAGTATTCCAAGATGAATTCTTTAGGCACATATTGCATCTTAATATCATGGAACAAATAGGAAGTTTAAATTCAGAAAGACCTAGGTTTTAATCCTAGATCTATAGATATACCTAATAACCTAATATTGGCAAGATACCTCCATATAAAATGCAACATTGTTAATATTTATCATATTTTAGTATTAGTTTCATTTTTTGCTCCTCTTTGAAGCAAAACTCTAGAAAGTATTGCGTAGAGTTTCTGTCTTTGTTTCTTCTCATTGTCTTATAAGTTTTTATCTCCACCATTGTGGTGAGATTTATCTTATCAAGTTTACCAGCAATATCACAATTTCAGCTGGCAAGCTTTAGCCTGCCTAGAGCCCTAGAAGTCCAAGGCCCATAAAGGTTGTTCTATTTACTTTAAGTACTGAGTAGCCTCTTGAACAAGAACTCTTCATTAAGGAAGAAAGCTGGCATTTCTTTCTTTATGAAAAGTCGACATAGGTAATTCTTACTTTTTCACATATCCGTAGAAATACATATTCATTTTATATTCTTATCTACAGGGTGTTTCAAATTTTCTTAGTTATGTCTCCATTTTTATTGGAAATTAAATTATATTGTTAAATGATATGACATTAGAAAAATTAACACATTAAACTCCTAGATCATGTGTTCTTTGGGGAATCATTTCAATTCTGGCAATTCTCAATTTATTTTATAATACTAAGAAGGCAGAATCCATTTTTATTTATATTTATTTCTGGGAAAAAAAGAAAATGAAAACTGAGCCATAATTTTAAATGATTTTCTACTGTTTGTGCATGGATTTGGCAAAAGGGACAATTACCATCGTTTCAGGTATGGTTAGTTTTTACGCCTATCTGTACCTCTGTATTTATAGGGAAGGGGAAGATTTATCTCTTATTTTAATTCAGTCTTTCATTTTGACATAGTTGTAAATCAATATGTAACTATAAGAAATAATACAGAGAATATCATTATGCTCATCATACACATTCTTCTGATGTCTTGCAAAAGTATGATACATCTTTCAAAGCTATGGTACAGTATCTTGCAAAACTATAATACAATCTCACAAGTAGGGTGCTGACATTGATTTAGTTCAAGTTTGTGTGATATTATCATTACCTTAGTTTATTATATATATTTAAGGCACACAACATGATGTTTTGATATACATATGCAGAGTGAAATGACTAGTTAAGAAAATTAATATATCTGTGTCATCACATAATTACTGATTTTTTTAAATGAGAGCACCTGAACGCTGCTCATTTGTCATATTTCTAGTATACAATATGGTATTACTAACACCATCATTTCTACGTTAACTATCTAGACTTATTCATTCTATATAACTGGCTTTGTATCTTTTGACATTCCATTTATCCCACCTCCCACCCCTGATAACCACAATTATATTCTCTCTTCTATCAATTTTAAAAATTGGAATCCACATTATACTTGTTTTGCTGGCAAAATTGAGGCAACTGGAAATATTTGTTTTTCTCAATTTCTGTATTATTAATTGGTTCTTAAAATAGAAGGGTAGCTCATTTATTATGCTTATGTGTAGAACCTATGCTTCTAGTCTATGTGTGGCACTTATTTCAGGAACATGAATTTTCAAGGAGATGGACCACGCTGAGCTTACCCATCAGTATTGATTTTCTGTTGTGGACTGCACTTACCACTAAATCAGCAAACAACAAAAATAATCTGAGGGTTTCAAAAGTGGCAAGTTGTATTTGCTGTCGTGGTTGACACTCAGAAAAAGAATCTGTTAGAGATCATTTATCATGTACAGTTGTCCATTGAGACTGTAAAAATAGATCCAAAGGTCCTAGTATGATATATGAATTAAATAATAGCAAGGGAAAATGTAGACTCAAGCTCCTCACTAGAGTCAATCAAAACGTTTTGGTTGAAAATTTTCTTGATATACCAAATGTCATGTGTATCTTTCATTCAACAAATTCACTAGTTATTTCTAATTGATTAAAGGCACAATACCTTAATTAGTAAGGAGAACAACTGAAAATTTGTGTTGGCTTCTTGGAATATGATGTAAATAAAATGAAATAGTCATATAGAGTTAAAACAGCTTTCGGTAAACTTAAGGCTAATACTTGTTTTTTCTTTTAAATATAGAGTGTTTCATGAATTTGTGTGTCATCCTTGTGCAGCGGCCATGCTACTCTCTGTATTGTTCTAATTTTAGTAGATGTGCTGCTGAAGCGAGCACAAGGCTAGTATTCCAAGATGAATTCTTTAGGCACATATTGCATCTTAATATCATGGAACAAATAGGAAGTTTAAATTCAGAAAGACCTAGGTTTTAATCCTAGATCTATAGATATACCTAATAACCTAATATTGGCAAGATACCTCCATATAAAATGCAACATTGTTAATATTTATCATATTTTAGTATTAGTTTCATTTTTTGCTCCTCTTTGAAGCAAAACTCTAGAAAGTATTGCGTAGAGTTTCTGTCTTTGTTTCTTCTCATTGTCTTATAAGTTTTTATCTCCACCATTGTGGTGAGATTTATCTTATCAAGTTTACCAGCAATATCACAATTTCAGCTGGCAAGCTTTAGCCTGCCTAGAGCCCTAGAAGTCCAAGGCCCATAAAGGTTGTTCTATTTACTTTAAGTACTGAGTAGCCTCTTGAACAAGAACTCTTCATTAAGGAAGAAAGCTGGCATTTCTTTCTTTCTTTCTTTCTTTCTTTTTTTTTTTTTTTTTTTTTTTTAGAGTTTTTTGTTTTGTGCTAGCCAGAAAGAGACAGAGAGACAGAAAGCGAGAAATCACCTCCCAGGAGGGATGGTCATGCCGCAATCTCTTCTCCATTTTCTTCTCGGGATCTTGGGCATGTGCACACATGTGCCATGTGTGAGTTTAAGCCACTGAGTCCGGGACTCCAACCATGGTCGACTACATGGGAGTCCAGCGACATAGCCATTACGCCAGCTGCTGGTCCCAGAGAGCTGGCATTTTCAAATATTGTCCATTTTTCAGTTTGGGGGAAGAAAAGAGGAGCTGAGGAATGGAGTCTAAGAGTATCATGATGTCTGTCACTCAGATTGTCTTCAAGCCTAGCTCTCCAAGCCTCAGTTCTGGAATGTGAGGGTCATCATAATATGTGAGAAAAATAATTATAACTTTTTATTTTTTTGGAGAGGTTTTTGCTATAGGGCGCATGCGCTCACCTGACAGACAGAGAGACAGAGAGACAGAAAGCGAGAAATCACCCCCAGGGGGGATGGCCACACTGCAGTTCCTTCTCCTCCATTCTCCTCTTGGGATCTTGGGCATGCACGCACATGTGCCCAGCCTGAGTTTTAAGCCACCAGGTCCGGGATGCAAACCACAGTCAACTACATGGGTGTCCAGCGACATAGCCATTACGCTAACTGCTGATCCTAAAAATAATTATAACTTTAAAAAAAATCTCTGTTGTTTAAGACTATGTAGAATGTGCAGAGCACAAATCTGTGCTGTTTTGGGGTCCAACACTCAAGTGTTAGAATGCAGCACAAGCGTAATTGAAATGGGAACCTTCCCCTTTTCCTGCTTTTGGAGCAAATACTGGATCCCAACGCTGATGTAGTTGTGTGTGTCAGGACCAGGGCAGTCTCCACCTGGAATACAAATAGGCCATCACTTCTAATTGCTCTGTCATCAGTTTTGTAGCCTCAGCTAGCCTTGTGTTGGTCATATGGTGGTAGCACTCTGAACATCTCAGTTGCAGGTGAACCTTCAGCAACTGGAGCAGGAAAGGACAAAGAAACTGACAGATGCTATATGATTGCTAGGAGAAACCATTCACAAGCACACATCAGACACATCCTTTGAATTTTTCTAGAACTCTTTGTGAAAAATTTGAGAATGAGCAAAGACGATATTCACTTTTTATTTAATTTAAAAAGAGCCAACCCCATAGAGTAGTGGTTAGGCACCATGCAGAGGTAGCTGGATTCCACATGGCTGATTGGCATTTAAATTCTGGTCCTGTCAGCTTCATGCATGTGCTCAGGATCCTAATGGGATGGAGAACTGAAGGAAAAAGAATTGCAGCATGGCCAGGACCCATTGCAGATGCTTTATTTCTCTTTCTCTCCCATTCATTCTATTGTGTACTTGCACCCTCTAGGAAAAAATGAAATCTACACTCCTTTCTCTGATATACGAGACTATGTATGACTCTAGCTAGTGCTTACCTGTTTGACCTCATCCCATGCTACCCTCTTTATTCCTCATAACATTCACACTGGCTTTTAACATTTTCCTTGACCACATTAAACTTGTTTGCACTTCAGGGACTTGAACTCCCAGCTTATGAGCCTGGCATACTCTTCTTGCTATTTCTTTGTCATTCATGCCTCAGCTTAAATACTACCTCCATAGAGAAGCTTGAACTAAATATTTGTCCTATCTGAACTCCCTTCCTTAATACTCTCTCATCCTATAGCTAATCTCTATATTTCTAAGTTTTATTTTCTCCATAAGTTTTTATTGCATAAAATTAATTTTCTAAAAGATTATTTTTATTTTATTTTTTGTTCTTCTTCTTCTTTATTTTTTAAAAATTTGATCACAGAGAGAGAGAGAAAGAGGAGGTGAGAAAGCAAGCCACCAGGTCCAGGACTCAAACTCTGGTCAGTTATGTGGGAGTCCAGTGCCTTAACCACTATACCACCTGTTAGTTGTATTGCATAACATTCTAAAGAAATGTTTTATCTGGGCTGTCCCCATGCCTTGGTAGTTGGGGGAGCAGGATCCCAAATGGCTCAACGCAGTTCATACTGGGTGTGTGTGTTTGTGCATGCCACAAAATCCCAACAGGATGGAGAGATGGAGGAGAAGGGATTATGATAAGACCACATCCCGTTGGAGGTGATTTCTTTTTTTTTTTCTGAAACTTTTTTTTAACTTAATTTATATTCATTCCCTAAGCATCATCACAACATACAAAATGTGATTTCCCATCCAGAATATACTGTATAGTGGCTTAATTATGTATGTTATTATCAAAATTTTTCCATTTCTAGTTTCTAGTATTTTTTTTACCCGCACTTCTGACCCTCTGTCCTTTCCCACCCTCTTCTCACACTATCTCTGGTGTCCGCAGTTGTCTTCCATTCCTCTCCCCCAACATTGTATTGATCACACAATTTCTTAAATAATCTAACTACTTTCAATGGTACATGAACCTATCCATATCTCAAGACAAGATACAAATCTTTACAACCAGATAACAAGAGAATCAGCAATGTTTTAGTCAAAAGTCATAAAATTATACTTCACCAATTCAGTCTCATGTACTTTATCTTCTATTGTGGTTCAATTTTCCCGATTAAATTCTGGGATATAATATTCAACTCCAGACTTGTCCCTATGATTAAGTTGGCCATTTTCTTAGTTTTTGAACTCTTATTTCTGTGTGTCTATGTTTAATTTTCCTTATATAGCAGATTTCTACTTCTTCTGTTTCTGTGTATTTCTGTCTCTCTAGTGAGTGCAGATATTCTCTGTCTACTTTAAAAACAGAAGAAATATTTTACCTGATTATTATTTACTCCCCTTCCCACAAATGTGAGCTTTATGAAGACTTTCTTGGCCTATTCAAAAAAGTACACCTAGCATTTAGAATGGTGTTTGACAAGGAGTAGAAGCTTAGTAAATTCCTAAAGAATAATTACTGTTCCTTAATAATTAATTGTTTTGTGATTATTTTTAATTTTAAATTTACCAATTTTACATTTATTCACTGTATATCATTGGAGCATACAAAGTGAGCTTTCCCATAAAGAATATTGGCTCTATCAAAGATATTACCATACATGTTATTGAGGTAGAAATGAAGTGAAAGCCACTTTCTGGGCGGCCTCCAGCCTTGCAGCTATCAATACCAAACAGGAGGCACTTCCCAGCCCCTGGATAGGAAGGCCTTTCCTCAGAGCTGCTAAAAACCCTTCCCCTTATCTAACCAAGCAGCCCCATGCCTTGCTTCTACATAGCAACCAGGTCTTGCCCAAAGCTTGCTCATTTGAACCCATCCCAGCCCCTCTTGTCAATTGTCCCTATAAAAAGAATGTAAACCCAGAGGACAGAGGACAGGGCTGGAGATTAAAACACTAGCTCCTCTGTGCCCGCTGATGCAAAAAAAGTTATGAAGTTCTCCTATTTCTCCTAGAGCTGTTTCACTTCCAGCCTCTGGTTTTTCTGCAATGTTATCTTCAAAAAATAATTTTCTATGTTTTGTTTATTTTTATATACTTCTCATTCCCCTCCCTTTGATTACCTCTCTCTCACCCTCTGCTATGTCCCATCCTCCTCCCACACTGTCTCTGATATCCACAGTTGCTTTCTGTGTTTTTTTTTATATTTTATTGATTCACAAAAAATTAATTAAACTAAATACTTTTAATAGTAAGTAAAGTTGTTTTGAAATTATTTAGAATATGTTATTTGATGTAAATATATACTACATGTTATTTTATGTATTATCTAATTGCAATTGAACATGTAATGTAACTATTGACTTGATGTTATGGATTATTTTTATAATAAACACCATTGAATAACAATGAACACTAAGTGAATGAGGATGAGAGTTCATGATGTATAGATATGCATGACTCCCACTGTGATCTCACAGTTTACAAAGCACACTGCTATCTGGCTTCTGTCTGGCTTTTCAACCAACCTAAACAATGAGATCTTCTTGAATGCCTCTTAAAGTCTTTCTCATATGCTGTCCCTCTTTACAGAACACTCTCACTTCCCTGTCTCCACACCCCCTCCACTGACAAATTTTTAGTCATCTTTCAACTTGCAGTTTAGGTGTCACATTTCTGGGAAACTGGGCTACACACAGAAAAAGATTTCCTGAAAGCATGTCATGCGTATCCACAGTTTGTTTGCACATCCATCCAGTCTTCTCAGAAGAACTAGTTATACTTCTCCTGTATGGGATAAGATCACTTTCTCATTACCATACCTGAGGTCAGGAGTTCTATTCTCTTACCTTCTGATATGGATGATCTTACAAAGTTCTATGTAAGCCCAATACTCTTACAGTGTTTTAGATTTAATTCTTCAGATGAGAGAACAGAAGGACTTGCCCAAACACAAAAATGACTGATACTGATGCTGATGATAGCATTATTTTCTCTCTGATCTCTGTGTTTATCACTTGTCTCAACATCTGTGGATCCTGCATATTGCCAACAGGACT